TCCAATCGCAAAGCAAAAAACTTTCACACTTGGAGCCATAAACAAAGTAAAACAACAAAAAACTAATAAAAACCTACAACAAAATGTAAGAAATTGAAGAAAAAAATCAAAGCAATTAAAGTTTGAACTTTTATCAATGAAAAATTGTGTTAAAAAAAGTGTATCTGCCGAGAGGTAGTATTTTATCAAAAAAGTATACAAATAATGAATAATTTTCAGATATTATAGTCAAGTTTTTATGCGTTATTATAGCCTTAACCATAGACCTTAAAACTAGCCTATATAGGGCATCAAATATTCGTATAAACTCAAAAACAACCGAAAATTAAATGTGTGAATGTCTTGTCAGCTTTGCGGTTGAGTGAAAATACGTGTGAACGAACCCCCAAAATAAAGAAAACAATAGACAATCGAAAAATAGTTACAAAAATAAAGAAAAAAATTTAAAAAAAAACTATAAAGAGAAACCTAAAAGAGAGTATCGAACCCTTAACTTAAAAAACTGAAAGAAATATTTTAAACTCTATTAGTATTATTAAATCATAGTCTTAAGCTTAAATAATACTCCAAAAAACTCTATTAGAAACTTCTTTTAGAAAATCTTTTACAAAAACTATACATTTCTTAAAATTTCCTCAAAAATGTCATGAAATTTTTGTTGAAATTCGAAAGCAGAGAAAAAATGCCAAACACAATTAACTTGAAAATAAAAATACCAAAAAAAAAACATCAACACAGCGTGGGCGAAATGAAGCCAATTGAGTCAAGAGAGCTATGAGGTATGTTGGGGTTTTGGGGAAATGTCAGTGGGTGTGTGGGTGGCTTGGTGGATGGAGACACTTGCTCAAAAGTTGACTTGAAGAACACCAGTCGTTGGTAATCAGTCTATTCATGATTATTAATATTATTAACTGATGAATCATCAACCTCAAAGTGCAGGCAATTAAAATTCATTAAAAAAATGTTTATATTTATTATTTAAGAGGATTTCCATCATAAGTTTTCATTAAGGAAACTTGTGTGACAGTTTTTGAGACATTTTTAAGATACTCTTTAAAGGGCTATAGACTTTGGTTTAGGAAGTAGTTGTTTGGGATGGTAAACAGTTTATAGAGTTTATATTACTTATAGAGTGGCGAAATTTAAATAAATAAAATTTAAATTAGTTAATAAAATATATATAATAGAGACTAGGGATTTTTATTGCTAACCTAATACTAGTCCTGCTATACAGCTATAGTCCTTTGCAGTCCTTTTTTTTAAGGTAACCATAATTTTTGAAACAAAATTAAAAATAATAAATAAACATGAATAAAAATGTATTTCAATAATAAGGGGTTTCTCCTCTCTTCTCATAAGATGCAGCTTACAAAACCAAACAAGAAACTAAAAACCTTAAATAAAAAAAATAAAGAATTTAAAAGTTATTCAAAAAAAATAAATTTAAAAAAAAGTGCCCTCCTCCTCGATTCTCATAAGTAGCACTTAAGCAACCCAAGAAAATATTTTTTTAATAATTTTTTTTTTTTGTAAAAAAAAAAAGAGTATTTCTCTTTGCCTAGCCTTGTACTCTTAGTACCTCTTAATTGTTTCTTATTATAACAAGTTATGTTTTTCTAAATGATGAGCTCATATTTCAAGGGGCGTTTATTTTATTTTTTTTGAGAATCTGCCGAGTAGAACTGCTAATTGTCGGACATGTGGCACCAGACCCTCTCGCATATCCACGCCCCAAAATTTCCATGTCAGGGTCAAAGTGTTTCGAACCCGAATCAGATAAGAACCGCACCCCAAAGTAAGAAAAAACAACAACAATACTCTAGACTCTAGAGTTCATGGTGATAACAAGTGTGTGTGGTCAGAAGCTATAATTTCGAGAATAAAAAGATGAAATGCCATTGATAGATGAGAGACAAGTAGCATTCATTTAATTGCCCCAAGTCGATGATGGAATGCCAGAGAAAAATATTAAACTGATGATGGAGTTATCTCAATTGTTTGTCAGCGATAGGAGAGTACCAGGAAGTACTCCCCTTGGGAGTTTCTCATTCAAAACTCTGTCAAATATAAGATTGTATTTTCATCACTCTTCTATGGTGACCCACATTCTACACATTTTTGATTATGATACTCGGTGATGTGTCAATTTTCAGTGCGTACTTATATACATGTGCCACTTAATGTACCATTTCCTATTTAGATTAGCCAGCTCTGTATTAAAAAAAAAGAAACATAGTTGTTGTTTTTGGAGTGCTAGTGCTTTGTAATTAGTTGGCTTTGATGGCAATTTAATTCATTCGTTATGTGTCCGCCTCGTCGTCTGACAAAGCGTCCAAAAGTGTTGCCCACATCATATATATAGATCTGTACGTGTACGTGGTGTATTATTCATTGAAACAAGCACATATATATGTATATATATGCATTTATATATATATATAAATTATTTAGCGGCCTCGACACACACAGACACATACTAAATCGAGAGATACTTTGCGAACCCAATGCACTAGATGAGTTGGCGAGATGAATTCTCTTGAATTTTTGGAATATTTTTGGGGTGCAACAAAGCGATTCAAAAGTGTTGTGTTGTGAATCAATTTTTATTTTAATATTACGATTTACACTTCTCAAAAACCCCTCTAATATCTCCTCCACCTAAGCCTCTGTTTGCTTTTAAAGACCCCTCTTTTTCCCTTTTTTTTGTCACGAACAATTTATGCGCTCTGCTTGTTTCGCACATTTTTTATCTTTTTTTTTTGCTATTTTATTTATTTTCCTGTTGGTTTTTGTAGTTTTACTCTTTCTGAGGGTATTTTGGTTCCATTCTCACTTACTTACTACATTATAGAGAAATTTAAAGGCTAAATATATAAAAGAAACGAAATAAAAATATAGAAATTCATAAAAATAGAAGTAGCACCCTTCCCTTCGCTTCTTATAGGATGTACTTAAGACGCCAGGATATTTACGGAATGAAATAAAGTAATTGACTTATTTTTAAACAATTAAATTAAACAAAATACAAAAAATAATAATTTAAGAAATAGCGCCCTCCTCCTCGCTTCTCATAGGTTGCACTTAAGTTAGCCCAGAAATTAAAAAAAAATCTTATATTAAAATCGGTTTTATACAAAATCTAAAATTGTCTAAATATTAAAACCAGGCACCATATACTCATCATATCAAAACAAAAGCAATTCTCCAGATGCATTTGCATTCTTTTTAAAATTCCTTTTCTTTTTCAATTAAACTTTTATGGTTTTTGGCACAAAAGCGAAACATTTTTATTTACATTTCCAGTAAATTTTTAGCAAGCCTCATCAAAAAGAAGCGGAATTTAAAAATAAAATTCCATGGTTGTCATAAAAAATTGTTGTTTTCATGGTTTAATGGTGCAAAAGTTGGCCTCTTTCTTAGGATGTTTTTATGGAATCCGATTTTCCTTAAAAGCCATTACTTTCCTTTATTTATTTAAAGAATTTTCTGTAAAATCTGCCAGTCAGATGGTCAGGTACTTGATTATTTATTTTTCTATTTTCCACTTCCCCTCGGAATCAGAGAATCCCGTGATGAAGTGACTCATCTTGAAGTAATCAGTAAAGTGCAACCAATTGCTAGAAAAATGTAGAGCATGAATAATTATGGGGAAGCTCTTAGGAAAGGGGGCCAATTAAATGATTGGCAGTGATCATGAAATTTGATAGTAAATGTGCCAGCAAACCGACAAAACTGACAAACTCTTCTGACGGGCAATAATGTGGGCCCATTGCCAGAGACTAGGGGGAGAAATAATGTACTACAGTGGAGCTTGGTTAGGGGGGAAATAATTAATAAAGGGAGATGATTAAAGGGTTATTTTATAAAAAACTAATACAAGCTTCTAAAATAATATTTATTCAAATAATAGAGCTTTTCCCATAGCTTTTTATAAGCTGGACTTAAGAAATATAATAATTTAAAGAAATATATAAAGAATTTAAATAGAAGAAAGTGGTTTAAATAATTCATATAAAAATCCTGGGCCTTTCTCCTCGCTTCTCACAGAATGAGCTTAAATAAGAATAAAAAACATCAATTAAAAACAAACAAATAAAAGAAATCTTTAAAAATAATTATTATTAAAAATAGCGCCCTCCTCCTCGCTTCTCATATGTGGCACTTAAGAAACCTAGAATTTTCAAAAATATTTTTTGTTATTTTTTTTAACTTTTAAGAAGTTTTACCTTTAATAAATTTTACCTGTAGCTTTCCAAAATACCTTCCACTATCCTCCCTAAGCACGCTTTGCTGTACTTGGGAAAAAACTTCAACTGCAACTTCCAATCCCCCCCTCATTTGACATTTCCCGCTTTAATCCAAACGAGTGGCAGTGCCACATGCAACATGCAATCTGCCACCGCCACTGCATCCGCACATCATCTGCCTCTGAATCATTAACTTTTCGAATGATGTGCGTTGATTGCCTAATGAGGCAATTTGTCAGTAGCTTAGGCCGCGGCGAGGGCCTTTCCTTCTTTTTCCCACTTGGCAGTTTATTGTGCCAGTTTTTCCAGCACTTTTCCAGCTTTTCCACTCTTTCACACAAACACACTTTTCCACAAAGGCCTAGTGCAGCATATTGTTGGACTCATAAGTGTGGAAGTGCTTCAGATTTTTTTTGTGGGTGGCGACAAGTACATGAAACATTTGTTAAAATGGCCAGTTTTCTTTTCATATTTTTATATATATTTTTTTTGTTTTTGTAAGATGATTTAAAAGGTGAAAAAGAGGTGTTTTAAAGAGGGATTATATTTAAGATTTTTATTTTGGTTTTTAGTTACAAATACTTCGTATAATATTTCATATTCAAAGATATTTTTATGAGCTTATAAAGTCTATAGAAACCTTTAATATTTTTATTATTTTAATTTTAAAAATACCTTCTCTAATTGAAATAAATCTTTAAAAATATAAGCCCCTGTAACTAACTGATAAACTACCTTCTTATTTTTAAACAGAATGTGGTGGACCATCACTGGCAACTTTGGCAATATACTGCCCATTGACTGGTCCAAATCGTACACCCGTCAGATGCACATGCCCACTCTGAATCTCGGCCAGAATCCCACAAAACAGCAACAGAACTCACGCAACCAACAGCAGCAGAATCAGTTGCATCACCAGAGCACACACAGCAGCAATGGCTTTGGACCGGGATCTGGATCGGGATCGGAGGCACAGACCCCTGGTGGCGATGACTTCAACGATCTGGCCAGCGAGGATGAGGCGGTGGCCAATGATCTGGACATGCATGCCCTAATACTGAACGGTTTGAATGGAGATCTGGATGATCAGCCCATCAAGACCGTGGAGGAGGTGATCAAGGAGATCGATGACATCATGGATGAGGCGGAGAGCCCGCTGGACGAGCCCGAGACCTGTGAGTCGGAGGTTATCGAGAAGGCGCGAGAGGTCCTGGGAGCGCCCCTTTATGCAGAGAGTATGTTTTCATTATAACTTTCTTAAAATCTTAACTATTTAGTAATTTAATATTTTTAATATTCTTTCAACAGAACTGCAATATTTGACCACGACACAGCTTAACGAGCTGTACATGGAGATGGAGGTGCTGATCCAGGAGCTCAGCGAGACTTTGATCAACGAGCTGGCACTGCGGGACGAGCTGGAGTTCGAGAAGGAGCTGAAGAACTCATTTATTTCCCTGCTCCTGGCCGTCCAGAACAAGAGGCGGCAATACCATGTGGAGAAAAAGCGCGGAAAGTTTCAGGGTAAGTTTTTTTTGAAACCACTATATATTCTCAGGAAGTTTTTAAACTTATATTGTATTTTATGTACAGGTCCCGAGCCTAAGTACTTGACCACTGTCATTCCGTATCATTTGGAGAATGGAACACCCAACAATCAGTCCTTGCAGGTTCTGATCAAAAGTAAGTCCTATCCTATCGAACCAGTGCCATCACTAATTGAGATGGTACCTTACACAAAATTATACTAATTCCTATATTATTTCATTTTTTAGTTCTTAAAGCCATTAATGAGGATAGTCCCACGGTGCCGGCTCTACTGACGGACTATATCCTGAAGGTGCTCTGCCCCACATAAGCGCTTCAATCTAGGCCAGCTGTCTCAGCTCTATCTCTCTGTCTGTGTTTATAAACGAAAGAAAAAAAAAACATCTATATACAACTTGCATATATACACAATACACACACATTAATTTAATTAGTTTGTACTTTACAATTTTATAATTTAAATGCAATCCGTGTACTCCCCATCATTCTAAAATGAGCTAATGATTTCCACATATAGAACAAAATATGCAACAAAATATACATGTAATACATATATAGACACATATATAACACATAACAAAATATTAATGGAGAGCGCGCTATAATGGCAATAATACTCACTTCTCTGCCTCTCTATCTCTCCAAAACAACAAAATGCTAAAAAAAAAAACAAAATATATAAGAATCGATGGGAATATTTATACTTAAAATGTATTGTTATAGAGCTGATTTCAACTAAGCTTATTAAATGATATATAAACAGCTTGATCAGATCGATAAGACCGCTCTTTCTATATATGTATGTGTAATAACCGATAAAAACCGATCGAAAGAAAAAAATCGAAAATCGAATCGATATTCGTTTATCGCTTGTAATATGTTCGCGCTGCTTTCTGTAATCGGCAGCAAAATCCATAGTTTGTACAATATGTAACTTGTATGTATAGATTGTAAGACGTCAGAATGGCCTGTTCCCTACAAGAAATTATAGAAATGAAAAACCTACAACCAGAACAAAACTAAAATGAAAAAAAAATCAAACAAAAACAAAGATAATCTGCCTGCCGCCGCCGCATTTCCAAATGTGTTCCGCGTTCGAATCCTCAAACTACAGGCAGGACAGCGAATCAGGTTTATACAAAAAAAAATTGTTTCACTTTGCTTTAAGTTTTATTTAATGCTATTATCTACTATATATATTTTTTTTAAATTGTTTTTTTTTCTTATTTGCTCGCGAGGCCATAAAATGCGTTCTGTTTTGTTTAAAACAATTGTTTAAATGTAAAAAAAAAAACAAAAAACAACAAAAATATATACAAAACGAAAATGTAATTTTAATTTGCATAGAAATCGCTGTGTTATTTACTTTTACCAAACAAGCATAAATACATTTAATTAATAAAATAAATAAATAGTTAAAAACAACAAAAAAACGAAAAGAAAACAGTCAGGCGCACAGTGCTATTCTTTTTATTATAATAAACCAATATTTTTCCCCCCTTACTTTTAAAGCTACAGTCACATTTAAAAATGATATAATACTAAGCTACGATCACCCTTAAGAACTAATGGAAGATATATTATTAAATCGCATCCTCGTAAAGTCCAAACAAAGTACCACATTGATATCATGTTTCACATTTCACGACAAAGACGACAAAAGGGGAGCTAAAGAAAGGAATTCCGATCTATTTGAAGGATTTATTATAAATCACATCTAATGCAAATCTTAGGTACCTTTGTTAGTAAACAATATGCATACATACCTAAAACAAAACAAAAATTATATATGAAAACAAAAAACAAATGAAAAACCAACAAAAAAAATACAAAAAATAATGCATAAATGTTTACGACTTTATATACATTATATTTAAATGTATATCACATAAGGTCGCGCTTTATAAGAAATACAAAACATAAAAGAAATGAAAACGTATTTACTAAAATGCATAATTCAAATGGAATATGACTTTTTTTTAGGTCTCAGCTAAAGTAAAACAAACAGAAAAAAAATACAAAGGCTATATAAATCATACAATATGATAAAAATAAAAATGAATTAAGAAATGGAATCCCCTAATTGTATGTGTATTTGTAAATTATTTAAAAAAGAGTCCATGTTAAAGTCGAACGAAAAACGGAAACGGGATATGTCGTCTAGAATGGAAATTATATTTATTTGATAAATTAGTAAAAAAAGGAAACAAAAAGGAATAAAGGAAAACGACAACACAAAAATACATACATAGTTCTATGTATACATGCAATGCAATGCTCTATATACAAAAACAACAAATGACAAACCGAACAACTTTTAAATTGCTTAAATAAAAACAAACAAAAAAAAAACACTTGAAATGATATTTTAAATGGGAGGATATCAAAAAATTAACTGAAAGCTCAAATTTAAAATTAAAACGGAAACGGATATGGTATTTTTCCGGTATTTAAGTGTTGTGAGTTCGCTCAAATCAGTGTTGTAAAACAGGGAAAGCGTAAACCTTTTTGTATCGCGGGGTCACACTGCCTTGTGGGTTCGTGGTATCTTTCGGCTGCCCCACTACGGTCACATCATAGTTTTTTTTTGTATCTAAAAACCAACCGTAAAAATAAGTTTAAGCAAAGCATCTACGTATAAGTTTCATTTTTTTCCGTTAAGTGTAACAATTATTTATTTTTTAAGTGCGCCTTCAATAAGAAAATGTCATCGCGAAGGTAAATCCAATAGGAAGTACGACAAAGTGCCCACACGCACACATACTCGCGCACGCTGCTCTGCTGCTCGACCGAGAGTGTATCTGTGTGTGTGTGTGCGAGTGTGAGCGAATGCCAGTGTGTGTGTGTGTGTGTGTATGCGAGGCACATATGTACACACATTACCCGCCCCACCGCCCCCCCCCTCCCACTTCGTCACACACCATACACTGGCACACACGCTCCCAACTGGGCTATTTACATATGTATAAGTAAAGGCAGAGCAAAAAAAAAAAACAACAAAAAAAAAATGAAAAAAAAAAAATAAAGAAAAACAGAAACAAAAATTTCTGAGATAAAAAGTGCAATAAGGTGCCGAACGTGAACCCACACCAGCACCGTCATCTGTAAGCTGTGTGGCCGTGGATGCAACAAACAGTGGCAGTTGCAATTGCGATTGCAGTTTACGGTTTACAGTTTACATTTTACGGTTACAGTCCGTTCTCTCCCTACACCACCCTACACCTCCCATTTCCCCCCCTTTCTCCCCCCCTTTTACGACCCAAATACAAAAAAACTGCTACTCTACACCTCCAGCTGTTGAGCTGTTGCTGGGCAGCTGTGAGATACACCCAAGGAAATAGTACTCACGTATTTCTGTTTTTTTTTTTTCATTTTCATTTCTTTTTTATTTAATTTTTTTTGTTGTTGGTTTCACCTGGTTGAGGTGTACACTCTCTGCATGATGTGTGGAAAAGGTGGGGGGTGGGGTGTGTGGGGCAGGGCCTGTCCTTCCCCAGGCGGGGTACCTTTTCCCTGACCTAGGTACTCCAATACCTGTTACCTTAGCTACACCAAGAGAAAAAGAAACATGTGCGTGCGCTTAGGAGGCCCTAATTGGACAAAATTTATATTTCGATTCTTTTGGGGATTTAAAGTGTCTTTTTTTACGACTTGTTTATTCATTAAAAAAATAGAGTATTTAATCAACTAAAGTAATAAAGCTTATCTATGAAAGGGTCTTAAAAAATGGAATTACTTTTTCAGAAGAATTTTAGTTTATTATTTGAATTATTGTTTTTCTAATAAAAATATTCAGTTGATTGTTATGTTAATGTTATTAAACGAATAATCATGAAATAAAATTTATTTTAACTAAAAAATTAAGAAAACAAATTAAATAAAACCAGAATTTGTTATTAAATGAAAATACTTTGGTTATTATTTTTATTATAATAGGTTTCTTCATAAAATGTTTATTATTATAAAGTATTATAGTATTTTTTAGTTGGTTCCAAAATATATAGAACTAAAAACGACTGCCCATAAACTAGAACCCAAATAAAACCAACATTTTCATGACCCTGATCCTTAATCCTTTAAAAACTTGAAATAAACCCAAAAATTTCTATTATCTTAAACTAATTACTAAATATTAACCCACCCACTTATTAGATGGTTCCACCCAACGATATCTGGCATCGAAGCTGAGAAACTGTTACAGGACGAGGGCTTCGATGGATCCTTCCTTGCCCGCCTCTCCTCCTCGAATCCGGGCGCCTTCACGCTCTCCGTGCGCCGCGGGAACGAGGTGACCCACATCAAAATTCAAAACAATGGCGATTTCTTTGATCTCTACGGCGGTGAGTAGGATCATACTTTAATAAAATATACACATTTATTAATTAATTAAAAAATTTACAATTTTTTAGGTGAAAAGTTCGCCACACTGCCGGAACTGGTACAATACTATATGGAAAATGGGGAGCTGAAGGAGAAGAATGGCCAGGCCATCGAGCTGAAGCAGCCGCTGATCTGTGCCGAACCCACCACGGAAAGGTAAGTCGGGGATTATTTTATGATATTATAATAATACTTTTGTAATTGGATAATATGGTTTAAAGCTAAGATAATAGAATGCTGTTGTATATTATAACATTTTTTAAAAGTTAGAGAGCTTTATAGAGTTTATAAAGTTTCCTTTTATAATTAGGGTACTTTTATAGAGTTTTGATCCATAAAAAATGGCTTTCATTTATTAAGAGAGAGTATTTTTTGCATAAATAGGTATTAAGACATATTATAAATCCAGAAAATACAGAAATACCTTGAAATAGTACTTCTAGGAGCAATTTTGGAATGAAATATATGAAGAAAACATATATATACTTTATATGTTGGATATATTAAGTTGGGAGCTCCCTTTCTTAATTATTTAGGAGGCATTTTGTCATTCTTATATAAGGTATTTTGAAATGTAAAGGTTATATTAATAATAAAAACCAAATTCACAGGAAAGTGTCTAAAAACAATAAAACTATCATTATAATATATCATTTCTGCCTCATATGGAAATATGTATAAGTTTATATGGTTTATGTTTACCTTTTATAGCCTTATATAAGTTATTAAAAGTTAAATAAATATTTATTCTATAAAGGAAAGCCATTTGTCTTTCTTTTAATGTTTTTTCTACAAAAACTTAATATTCCTATATACTATATACAAAATACTACCCTAATATACAACATCCTCTAAAGTAAAATAGTTCACCGCAAAACCAACCCAAGCCCCAAATCAAATCAACCTCCATAGTGCCTATCTCTGCATTTTATAGCCCTTGACCCAATTGTTGATATCGCACTGCTCAAGGATAAATTATTCTCATTTTCCCCATTTTGTATTTGCTTACTTTGTATTCATTTATCTTGTTTATAAGCAATATTTAAGCGATTTACCCTAGTTTCCAAATACTTTGATGAATAAGGATTTTACTTTAGGGGGCGAAAAGGCGCCACTACAGTCTTTTTTTTGGAGGGGAAGCATTTTCGTTTATTTAGAAAACAGCTGTTGGCAAATGCATTAAAATCAGAAAGCGTAAATAAACAGCAACAACAGCAGAAGCAGCACAAATTATGTTGTTTTGTTTATGAAGAGACACCATGGCGTATACGCAATCACACGCACATGTATGTCATTGGTTGGGTGTGTGTGAGTGCGATTGCAGACGCGCTGTCTGCTGATGCGTGCGCTGTTAGCCAACCAACAGCTGTTAATGTCACTGTTAATGCTGCACTAGAGCTGTTAGATAGGCACTGAGAAAAAAATAGTGATTGAGAAAAATGGGAAATAATATTTTTATAAATAAAATAAATCATATCCAGACGGGTTTTAAATTAGAGATTTATTGTAAATAGTTTTAAATTTAAAGAACTATTATATTTTTAAAGTTAAACTATATTTAAAACCTATTGGAACCACCTTCTGAAAATGAAATAATTCGTAAACCAGATTTTTGTTCTTGTTCTTATTATGCAAAATAAATGCTTTTGGGATCGTCTTTTTTAATTTACGGCCAACTTTTTAATTTACCCACTTTTGTGCCCCAATGACGTGCTACGGGGCTTAAATTAAAACAGAACCCTCATCGAGAACCCAAAAATAAAATAATTATGATGCGAAAAACCTTGTTTACTGACGTCATCTCGTACTCGAATCAGAAATCAAATGATTTTTTTCGGCACTCGCACTCTCAGATCGATTGGGTGAGCAATTAATGAATGCAACACCTTCTTAAGTTTAAAAATAAAACAGAGCCCGTGATCGAGAGGTTTTAAAAATAAAATCAGGTACAAACAAAAAAAACGGTAAACGTCACAGGGTTTTAGGGAGGAATTTTTAAAAGCTTTTGATTGAGAAGAATCTTAAATGTTCTTAAAGATTATAATAGGATTTTTTTTCATCAAAAATAACTATTTGTTATGTTTAATTAATAATACAAAATATGTAAAACTTTTAGAAGTAAAGCTTCTTTTTCGACCAAGTTAAGAACGGTTGGGGTATTTTTAAAAAGTGCTTCTTAACCAAATATAGGCGGAGAACCAAGGGAGGCGTGGTCATCAGAGGTAGCTGACCTTTCCGTTAGGATGCGGAAAATGCACTTTACAAAGAAAGACAATAAAGAAAGAAAGACTGAAAGAAAGAATTGAAAGAGGGATCTCGTAAAATATTTGACAACGGTCACAAAAAGGCAAAAAAAAAAATTAATAACCAAGAAATACAATAAATAACAAAAATATTTTGCGCGTGTGGGTTGTAAAAAAAACAAACAATGCATATGCTTGTATGGTTACCAATTTGTGGGTGTATATATATATTATAAATGCCTATTTGTTTCAGTGTATGAGTGATCAACAGGTGAGTGAGTGAGTGAGTGAGCCAGTGAGTGGGTGGTGTGACTGAGTGGGTGGCTTGGCTGTGTTAAGTGGAATTAGAAATTATTCACCCACAAAATAATATAATTTCTCGGCTTTGAACTCAAAAGCTTTGTTAGCAAGCTTAAAAAAAGAATGTACAAAAAATGGAAATGTTTTGTAAAATATTTTGAATAACTCTTAAAAGTTTACAACTCTCATTAGTGAAATAGCTTTTTAAATATTTTCACGAGCTACTCTGTATATCTCAAGATTTCATCATAAATACTACTAGTTTATAGTAGTATGTATCTCGGAAAAAACTTTTTCCAGATATTTTTCAATTTGAAAATGTCAGTCTTGAACTTTAATCTTGTCGGAATTCTGTGATTGTCTCTGTCCAGGGGATTGTTGTGGAAAATCATTCACTTATTATTATTTATTTTTGTTTACCCACCTGAGTACCTACCTGCCCGCCACTTGCACTTAAACGTTGCAATTAAAAAAAAAATGATCATTTAATTAATTGCTTTAGTTTCGAGCACTTTCTTCAATCTTTGTTTTTAAATAAACAACAATCAGTTGCACAATTAACTTTTCAATTTCAAACTTGGAAATATGTGTGTTTTGTGTATTGTATAATACTATATAGCCCCGCCCACTGTCCACTGTTTAACGCCCAGTGCCCCCTAACCCTGCCTCGCAACCCTGCCAAGCTCATCAATCAGAATCTCAAGTGCCTGAAATGCTAAATGCTTTCAATTTTCGCCATTAAGACAAGCCTACAAATGCCTTATAAATGCCATACACGTAGCACCAGACTGGTTATATCTTTGAAGCTAAATCTAAGGCATCATAGAGTATAGGATGTATGTAGTCTCATCCCTCGTAGAACCAACAGACAATTTGATTATATAGCCCAGTTCGAAATAATGATACTGCATAATCTGTACGGCACAACTGTACCTGGAGCTCTATCAAAATAGATCTGGAATTGTGACTTATATAATTCAACGAGTTACATTAATTATCCGCCAACTAATCGAATATTGAATACTTGAAACTTGTGGCTTTTGAGAATTGTAATTACAAGATTAATTAAAATTCAGATGAGTAGATATAAGAATTCAAATTTAAAGATAATTTCTAGATAATTTGAAACTATTAGAACCCTGTGTGTTCTTTCCCGTTTTTTCTGAACTGAATTACAAAACGCACGTATACCAAATACCTATATATATACTCTCAGATATATACGCAGATTGGAGATGATCGTTATATTTGGTATCCTATAAAGTGCCCTCTGAGAACGACAATTTAAAGCTCTCGGCACGAACCGCAAATGCGTCCGTTCCTTAATTATTTATTCAGGTAAACCCCTTTGGAACAAAAAAAACAACAGAAAAAAAAATCATCGAAAAAAAACAAAGAACCCACCGAACGTTGAGAGAGACAATAAATGGTATTGGCGGGGATATATGGATATGGTTATGGATCTGTCAGGGGGTTCGGAGGATGAAAATCGAAATTGGCTTACCCAGCAGGCCAATGAACTGTTTCATAACAAAAAAAAACAAGAAAAAATAAAAAACTTCCTTTGAAAAAAAAAGGAAATCTTTTTCGCCTTTAAAGTTAAGTAAGTCCCCCGTGGACCTAATGAATTACTCACAAAAAAAAGTAAATTATACGAGTACATGTCTAAACGCACGTAGCTCCATCTACTGATCCAGTAATTTCCCTCTAATTTATATAGCCAGTTATCGTAAATCTTGGCAGATATATAGTTTCGGCTAGGTAGGGCATGGAAAATGTTCTAGAGGCAATCTCATAAATCTCCCATCCCAGGAACTGGGGAAACCCAAACACACACCCCAGTCATAACTATATGTAACTAGAAACCCTCATATGACACCCGCTAATTATTTAATATTTATCAATATCCAATAGATGATATTATCCAATAAGAGGAGTACCCCATCTTGAATCGTCCATCAAAAATACGAGAATTGTAATTTTGTTCATATTCTTAACTGCTGCTTCCTTATGGCTGCAATGTGAGTGGGTGTGTTCGATTCCATTCGAGTCTTTCATAATCGGCATAGATTTCTCAGTCCTTGGTTATCAATTCCCTGACTGGCTAACCCATTTTTGGATTATACTTCCGACCGGCACGCTTTAGGCTTCGCCTCGCAAACCAAAAAATTATAAAAAATTAAAAATATGTACCTTAAACCGAAAACGGCTTGACAGTCGCATAGTCACGTGTGTGGTTGGCATTTTAATAGCCTAAGCTTTAATTATTAACAATAAATTATGTTTATTTTGTGCTTTTGAAGCCCACTCCCTGATTTTTATTTCGGGATGCCTAAAGGTTGCTAAGCTGGAAGATTGAAGATATAGTTTTATGAGTAATCCTCTATATATTGAATTATTCCATTATTCTTATGTATAGGAACCTCCTCGCAACCCTCGGAGACCTAGTTTTTAGTGTGGTTTTCCATCGGATCTGGTCACCATCCTGTTCGCATTGATGCATGCAAATGTTCTACTTACATTCATGGGGGTTTTCCCCCAACCTGATTTATGCTTCTCCAGCTGCAACTCGTGAATATGATCATGTGGCTTTAATATGCATTTTGTGTTCTTTCATTTAAATGAAAATGGTCATACGGCTTTTGATCTATGGCTATTAATAGAGTTTTTTTTAATTGGAATTCCATATAGTTGTTTATTTGTTCTTTTATTCTTTTGTCACTGATTATTTTTGCATTTTTTCATTCGATTGTGTGTTCATTTTGAGTGATTATTCATTTGTTCGTCTATTTATGGGTCTTTTGGTTAATTTTTCAATTCTTCCATGTGTTCATTTCTTTGTTTGTTTATTTTTCCATGAGTTCATTTTTTCTTGTGTTCATTTTACCTTTTTTGTTCATTTTTTCATGTGTTCATTTCTCCGATAGTTAATTTTTCGCTTATATAACATTCTTCCTTTCCCAAAACTATTCTTTGAATTAAAAATTCAAATAGTTTCTAACCCTAACCACACCCTTTTTCTTTTAAAAAGAATATCGAAAGTTCTCAAAATTTTCATATCCAAAGTTCCTTTATTCTGATTCCAAATAAAAACCAATGACGAAATATAGGAAAAATAAAAACTAAATAGTTTGTCATCAGATTGGAGGTGTTGGGTTCTGTTTTTTGTACTTTAGTGTTTTTTTGTGTTTTGGTCGCACGTCTGCCACCAGAATTGAGCTGTTGTTTTGGCCAAAAAGTATGCTGGGCACGTTCGCTCCTCTGACGTCTGCGCGCCTGCGCTGTAAGAGCGCTATAGATCGGGCTAGCTCAAGCTAAGTAGTATCTCCTCCTACCGCCCCCCGCTTTTGAAAACCCCTGTAGAAAAAAAAACTCCTCGCCTAGATGACCGCCAGAATTGTAGTTGTTGCCGTGCGGTTTCAGTTTCATTTCCGGTGGCAGGCAAACGGACAGTCAGACGGCGCTTAAAACGCTTTTCGTATTTTATTTTTTTTTTTCTTACAACCCAGCAGCAACAAAAACAGAAGCACAACACTCATATCACGAAATGACCATTTTCGGTTTGGAATTAATTTTCTGTGTTTTTGCCTTTTTTTTTGTTCTTTCTTATTTTTTTTCTTATTTATTTTTATTATTGAAATGTATATGATTCGGATTCTGATTACGATGAATTCAAGCAGTGATTCATCCCTGCAGGCGGCATGTCGGCAAGGCAGGCGGCGGTACAGTCATCAAAAAAATACTGAAAAAGCCTAGAGCCGTCGCACTCTCACTTTATGAAAATTAAAGTAAAAGTGTTAGGAGGGAACAACTTTCAAAAGCAGAAAAAACAAACAAACCCAAGTGGCGCCAAATGAAAATCAATTGAATTTTTGTATCAATTATATAGAATTTACTTTCAATTGATAAAAAAACCCAAGATATCAAATCAGGAAGACATTTCTTTTTAATCTAGAAAGGAGTTTTTAAAAAGATAAATATGAAAGCAGTATTCTTTGTTAAGAAAAAGGTTAAGAATGTGCCTTAAAATACTTAAGAGATATAATCTGTAAAGCAGTTTAAAGCTGTACCTTTATTAAGAGGATCTACAAAAATCAAGCATCACACACGCCCACTGCTTATCAATGTCGTTTGTTGTCGTCAGAAAATCCCCAACCAATAAATGCATACTATATGTATTCCATGTCAAGATTAGCAGGAAGGGTTAACCAGAACACCGGAGCAGGTTAAAAACCGATTTAAAAACAAAAAGCGCCGTCCAGAAACGTACAAGATTCATTCATACGCCAGAGCTTAGAACGGAGGCAAGCCACCAGTACACACCATCAACCCACAATCCAACCCACTGGAAAAGATCTGAGATCGGAGAACCGAGCCGGAGCCCGGAGACCGGAGAATCGGAGAAACGAGAGAGCACCGAGACTGAGGAGGCAAAAACAAGCTAAGAATCGAAGGCAAAAAGCTTCAGACCCGGCAGCTGGCGCTTCATTCTCGAGTTGCGGTCCAACGAGTTAACACGTCGCCTCTACCAAGCAGTTTTATTATAAAAATCGCGTCAAGCAGTTTACGTATTTTGTTTGTTACTTAATTTTTTTTTATTTGAATATTACGCGAATTATGCCTTCATCTACATTTGTCCTGGAACATTTGGTGACGGCACAACTACGTCTGGAGGAACAGGAACAGGCTCTGAAGGCTCAGAAAATCCAAAAGAATTCTCCAACAACCACTATTTGTAAAACCACAAATCCTTTGAAGAAGTCGTATGAAAAGAAGCTGTTGTCGGCTCTTAAGAAAATTGTGCAATAAAATAAATAAACAAAAACAATACTATAGAAACTATAGACATTTCACCTTAATCGAGCTGACTAAGATCAATAAAAAAAAAAAACAAAACAAAAAACAAAAACAAACAAGCGGCGAAAATATAAAAAACAAGAATACTAGTTTTCTGAGTGAGTGTGTGGGCAAGTTGTTACATAAACAAAAAAATAAATAAAGTAATAGCTAATAAAAAATATATACATCTCTCAAAAACAAAACAAAAAAACAACAACGCATTATTCCCCGCTGTTGTGGAAGTTTTTTACATTTATTTTTTAAAAGTGCGTGTCAAGTGAAGAAATTAAAAAATAAAAAAATCAAAATGCTGTTCAACAAGTGCCTGGAAAAGTTGTCCAGTGTGGTTAACCACAAACTTCAAGAGAAACAAGTCTACAATAATAATAATAATAACAATAACATAAATAATAATAATCTAAGTCAGAATAATAATAATGCCTATAATAAGCAAAGAAACTTTGAATACGAAAGAGCTATTCAGGCTCATTATGGCAGTAAGGTGGAAAAGTCCAGGGAACGAACGAAAACAAAGTCCGGCAAACGGAAGTCAGTGCCACTTGAAAAGGACGATATATCGGAGGATATATCCACACCTTCCACTGGCAATTGCATGACGCACGACGAACTGGCCCAAATAATAAGGGGCGTGGCCAGAAATCAACCAAATTCCATTTCAAATCGAAACCAAAGTCAAAATAATCAACGCCGAACACTATCCGCCCAGCCATCTGCCTGTCATTCGAATTCCTCATCCCAGGAATCCTTGCATCATCATCATCAGTCCGCCAGTCCTGCCCCGCCCACATATGCCTCATATCCGGCCACGCCCACCTCCTGGTCAGCCACGCCGCCCCAGTTTCCGGCCCCCTTCGGAGGAGCTGGCTCCGAGAGCACCCTATGCCTTTTGGCCAATATGCGGTTTCAGCTTCACGGCTATAAGTAAGTCGGAGTTAACAATAAAAATTAATAAAAACCATAAAAAATATTTATAATATATATTTATGATCATACAATAATAATAAAAAATCTAAAAGGCAAGCAAACAACGTCAACGAATCGCGATTAAATGATTTGGGGCGCGTGCGAAATTAAATGTTAATTGTTATCAGAGTGCGAGTTGTTAATTTGCTACAAAAAAAAAATATATATAAATTAGGTGATAAAAAATAAATCAAAAGCAAGGTCTATTAAAGGGTTTTTCTTTAACTACAAAATATATAGACTCTTAAAATATTTACAATATTTTACAAAGAAAAGTGTTACAACTTTTAGTTTTCAAGCTTCTATTTTTGTAGTATATTTTGTTTAAGCTTTAAAATCTTTTTTTAAACCATAAATTTATATTTTTTATTTAAAGTAATTTACTGAAGGTACATTTGGAAAATTATTTATATTTTTTTAAGACAAACCTCAAGACCTAGAGCCTCTTGCCCAGTCACATGTCTATAGAGAAGTAAACACATTTTTGAAAGATTTCTGGAGGCTAGAGGGGAACCAAAATTTGGGTCCAATCTGCTGCCCATTAGCATTAACCCTAATAAGGGAAGCAATCACTGAGCAGAGAGCTGAAAAACACACACAAAAAAAAACAACAGAAATTGTCATGTGTTCGAAATTGCCACGCAAAATGAGTAAATATTTACGCAAATCACAAAATGACAAAAACAAGCAATCCAATCTCCCTCCGAGAGTCGTAAATTGACATTCTAATATGAATGAAGGGGAATTGGAATTGGAATGGGAATGGATCTGTTTAGATCGCTTTTCATATATGGAATATAAACATACAACTCGAGACACACCAATTCTCACCCCCTCACTCAATTAAGCCATTTGTTGACTTGTTGTCTTATTGATTTGAAAGGTATTCTGTAAAAAAATGTATATATAGGAGTATCTAAGAATTACGCACTCCAGTTTTCAGGGGAACTTGATCTCTGCAACATGATATCTTTTTCTTTGGATTTATTATCTTTTCATACTGCCAGCGTATGTTTGTACTGTCTACATTCTTTAGGAGATTCCAATTCATTTACCTTCTCTGGGATCTGTGGATCTTTGGAATTTTTTTTTACCTTTTTTGTCTTTATTATCATGGCTTTGTGTCTTGTGGGTCTTTATTTATTTGATTACTCTTATTAAGAGGTTACTGTAACTTGAAGAAAAATATATAGACTTAGCCTTGATTATCCTGATCGGTGTCACCACTTGATGATCCTTTAGTTTGAAGGTCTTAAGTGTTTTTAAGTGTATTATATCCTTAAATAATTTAAATATTTTCTTTAAATATTTTTTTAAACTGATTATCCTTCTAAAAAAATCTATAGTCATATCCTTACCTAAGAGGGTTTGTTATCCTCATCGGGGTCACCACTTTAATGTTTGTTTAGTTCCCGATTGTTTTAAAAAGTGTATCACATCTTCGACTTTCTTTCCTTAACTGTCTCTTTTTATATTTTATTGTGTGGGCAGTCGCTTAAGTCGAAGAATTCTCAATTCGCACATTTCCCAAAAATTATATTTACATATGTATATGGAATATCTATGCATATGCTTATAAATTATCTTCGACTTTCGTTTGAGCCTGAATTGGAATTGTTATTTATGTTGATCTTTATCGCGAATTGATTCATTATACTCTGGCAAATATTTATTTTTTATTAAATAGTTAGCAACTTTACAAATTTTTGATTTTTTAAGTTAAATTGCACAATTTTTGATTATCTTTATTGGCCATTATAAATCATCTTTAACGATCGGCCAATGATTTGGCAATATAACTATAAAAGTTGTAGTCTGATGATTTCCGGTGTTGTCTCGTCACTTCACTAGGTCAACAATGGGGTTCTACAACGGGCCCCCATTAGTTTCCCTTTAAAAAAATACACCTTTTTTTTTTGCCATATGTCTGATTAACAATTTATAAACTCACACATTTGTTGTAATGACTTCTGTTTTGCATATTTCCGTTTTTTTTTTCCATTGCACAACAAATTGCATTTACCTTTCGTATTTTTCTGTTTTTTCTTTATTTGCTGTGACTGATCAAATAAATTCGCTTTAATTTTTGCAAATTCATGCAAAAGATGCTCAGTTTCTCAGATGCTCTGAATGGAAAGACCCTTTTTGAAAATATCAAATTTTCCAAAAACTATGATCATATAACTGCTTGCTTTATGGAGTCCTTGAACTGCTTGGGGAGTGGGTGAAAATGGCGGAGCTTGTAATCAAGCTGTTAAGATTGATGACTTTCCCAGTAAAAAAAAAAAAATTTAAGTTAATTAAACGAAGGCAAGCCGGCGGCGTCAGCTCCCTCTACAACCTGTTTCGCTGCCGCCTTTTTCCAGGTGCGTTGGCATACAAAAAGCACAAAAATACAAAACAAAAAAATAAGCATAAGTAAATAAAACGCTGACAAACGAACGAACGAAAAAAATTGCGCACTTTTCATGTAAATCTGTTTGTTGACCTTAAAGGCTTACGCTTTCATGAATGGCTCCCCAGCTTCCTTCGTATGCATAAAAAAAAATTAAAAAAAAAAAAAAGAAGTTTTATTTATAAATGCAAGTGTAACTGTAAATGATGCAAAAAGTTGTGAAATTTTCACTGACGTACTCCGTACTTCTGATAATAATTCAGTTGATATTATATTTTTGGCAGACAGTGGAGACGTTGTAAAAATTTTCAAGTATTATCGTCACACTGCTAAAATTAAAGATCAACATTGAAAACTGGGTGGAGAATGACACAAAGGATCTGATCTGATTGAATATTTGGGATTGGATGTCAGAGGGTATGAATATGAAATTGCGATCGCAAATAAACGATCGACTAAAAAGCAACACAGCGATATGTGCTAATAAGTAGACTTGGACCAAAAATAAATATTGAGAACCTTTCCATATAAAAAAAATATAAAATATTCCATGTGTGTGTTTTTGTTTTGAATCATCTTGAAGAATGCGCAATTCCATAAGAACGGAAATTATTACTAATAGTAGGTAATGTAGAGACTGCTTTAAACGAATTTCAAGCAGTTTTGTTGTAATGACAAGTAACCTGTCTTCTTCAACTGCTTGTCGTAGGTTTTCACTTCCGTTTTATTCATTTTACTAAAAATAAACCTTATAAACTGATTCTTATCATTACCAAATTCACCTTGAATCTGTAACAAGCTAAATTATATTAAAAAAAAAATATATATATATAGAAAAAATGGAGAGAGAAAGAGACAAACGAAAAGCATTGAAATGCACGACTGTGTGTGGCACGCTCTAATGTGTAATGTTAATTGTTTCTACATGAATTTCTATTAATAGAAAAACTCGCATACGGAAGATGTATTGATTTTTTTTTTTATTTAATAGAACTTCAAATACATAAAACATGAGTATATAGAATACCAATCAATACCAAATCAAAAATCAAACTCCCAAGTCTTGATGAAATATTTTATGATATCTACGACCTCTTAAGGACAACAAAGTATGTTTGTTAGTATGCTAGAATTTGCTCGAATTCCGTATTTTAGATATATTTATTTTGTATTTTATTTTATTTTTTATTTTTTGTATTTTTTTGCTGCCAACGAACTCAAAATCGGGGTAAACGAAGAAGCAAACAATAGCAAGCACATGGGTCGTTAATGGTATTCAAAGCAAGTTTTTTAAGTTAGTGTTATTTATGCAAAATAGTTGGTGGTAAGGTAAAACAAAGCGTAACCAAAAAAAAAACGCACAAAATCAATGAACTTTTGTCCAAAATATTTCACAAAAAAATATATATGTCATTCAATAAGTTGATATCATTTTTCCCACAAGCAGTGCAACATTGAGCTTCTTTAAAGCAGACGACTTTTTCTAGACTTCTAGAGATTTTTTGTTTTTATTTTTTTTTTTCTATGTCATCACCTTAAATTCAACTTCAATTCGAATTGCACAGAAACTAGCTAAATAACGAATTTATCGATGGCAATCTCAAGTCTGTCAAGTCAGACGAGTCGACTTATAAGTCCAGGTCTCACTTTTGAGCTTCGACTTTAGTTTCAAGCAGCTTTCTGGCTTTGATTCAACTTGCACTTTTCCACACGGCGTATGCGTGTTTTTTTGCTCTCTACCCCTCTACAGCTTTGCTTTTTTTTCCAATATTTGTTATTGGTATTGGTATTGCTAATGCTGTTGCTTTTGTTATTGTTATTGTCGCCTTGCATTTGACTGTTTTCTTCGTTTTTTTTGTGCAAGTGTGAACCTATTTTTACAGGTCAACATCTATTACGTGCTTTTCTAAGAGTTTTTAACAAAAAAAATCGATAATTATCGATAAGTTTTATAATTCATTTAAAAGGCAATCACAAAAAATACATTTTAGAGATCTATTATATATATTAAGTCTTGGGCTTTAAAAAAATACCCATAAACCATTGACATACTTTTTGAAAAAAATAGGGAAATACTGTAAAATACTGATAAAATACTGAAATAATATATGAAAACCTTTTGGTTTAAAAAGACTTACACTAAAATATTATAATATATTTATGTAAGAAATATTATTAATGATTGGGAGTGTTACTATGATGATCAAGTTTTGGAATTATTTTATAAATACTGATACAATACTGGAAAAAATACTACAAATCTTAAACTAAAGTTAAAGAATTAGGAAGCTCAAGTTTAGAATCAAACTCTAAAACTCTAAAAATTTTATAATTTAAAAGCCTAAAACTTATTATAATTCTATAAAAAAAATGCCCTTTAAATATTTGAAAACTTTGCAATCTTTCGATGCTCTACTGTAGCTATAGATTCGATTTGTATTTGCACTGCCTGGTTCCTACTTATTTGTGTTGTTGTTTTTGTTGGTATTGTGGTTGATGTTGTTGTAATTGCTGTTGTTGTTGTTATTGGTGCTATAGCACTCGTATTTTGCGCTTTTGCGCGCTTCTCAAACATGCGCCCATATAGTTTCGTATAGTTTGTAATTGCATTTCAAGCGAGCACGTAGTCTCTCAGTCAGGCACTCTCGGGTTATTGAATTTTGTCAGTCAGTCAGTTAGACAGTTAGTCATTTAATCATTTAATCAGTTAGTCACTTAGTCAGTTAATCCAATAATAGGTATAAGCATTAAATTTCTTATAAAATTCTTGTATTAATCTATTAATTATTGCATCTATTTTTTTTTATAGATGGTTTCATGGAAATCTTTCCGGCAAGGAAGCAGAAAAATTGATACTGGAGCGTGGCAAGAATGGTTCGTTTCTCGTCCGTGAATCTCAAAGTAAACCCGGCGATTTCGTTTTATCCGTGCGTACGGACGACAAAGTAACCCATGTCATGATCCGATGGCAGGTAAGTTTTGATTATTTTTATGGTTTTGTCAAACACCTCATTTTCCTTGAAAATATTAGCATTATTGCAATATGCAATATGCTAATTACAAATTACGAATCGATGCCAGCCAACAAAGTTGTGTTGTGGGCATCTACTGGCCATAGCAAATCCATAAAGTAAAGTTCCTCATCGCCTGACCTTGGACTCTCTTGGTGTATGTGTGACGGTATTTGTATGTAACTTACATCCACATCCGAGAGACTCGTGTGCATTTATTAGCAATACTGTATATGGCTAAAAATTTGCAGTGAAAACTCTTTAAAAAAGACTCTCTTTTTAATTAAAAAAATTAATTTTTACACTTAACTTAAGGTTTGAACTAAAACCACACTTAAAAAAAGCCAAGAGATTATAATTACCTTATAGTTTTTGTTGTTCCATTTCTTGTACCTTCACTGTACCATTATTTAAAAGTTTTTACAAAACCATAAACTATAAAAATAGGGGGAATTTTTCTTAAAACGGAAAATTTATATTTCAAATATGATGGAAATTCCAGGAGAGTTTTCTACGTTTTCTTCGTTTTTATTCAAAGTTTTATTTAAAACTAAATATAGACACTTTGAATAATGTCATAGACTTCTCAGCTTCTCAGCTACTTAACAATGATCTCTTTGGATCAAGTTTCAATGTAATTCCCCCATCCAAAAAAAAAAACACTATTACTTTTGACCGTGTGCGGTTATTGCGGTTGTGGTTTTACGGGTTTATGGACTTACGGACCTACAGTTGCAATTATGCCATTTACATGTCTCGTTGGCCTTTTTCCCACTTTTGACATTGCAGTCACGTTTTCGATTTTATTAGCTAATCCCTTGATTTAACGCTCCATCGAATTCCCACGTGCTTTGTCTTAATATTCATTATTTATTAAATATAATGGTTTTTTTTTGTTCTTTTGTGCTATCAAAAAATTCCAGGATAAGAAATACGATGTTGGAGGCGGTGAATCCTTTGCCACATTATCGAAACTGATCGAGCACTACAAACGTAATCCCATGGTGGAGACGTGCGGTTCAGTGGTGCATCTGCGCCAGCCCTTCAATGCCACAAGAATAACAGCAGCCGGAATCAATGCACGGGTGGAGCAGCTAGTTAAGGTAAGTTATCTAGGAACTACATATGTCTTAAATAATAAGAAAGTGTTGGGGATGGCTAAAGAAATATAAGTTTTCTCGAAGGACCAAAATGAACTATTTGGTCTAAATGTCTCGAAGGACCAAATCTAGCTCTTTAGTCTAATTGTCTCGAAGGACCAAAATTCTTACTAATAATTTAGTCTAATTGTCTCAAAGGACTAATTCCAGCCAATACTTTAGTCTAATTGTCTCGAAGGACCAATTTTAATTGAAATTCTTCTATTTCAGGGCGGCTTTTGGGAAGAGTTCGAGTCACTGCAGCAGGACAGTCGGGATTCCTTTTCCCGAAATGAGGGCTACAAGACGGAAAATCGCATTAAGAATCGTTATCGCAACATATTGCCATGTAAGCTCTCAATTTTTTCACAAAATCACACCCAAAACCAATACTAATAATAATATTTTCCTTGCAAAAATAGATGACCACACTCGTGTCAAGCTGCTGGATGTGGAGCACAGCGTGGCCGGGGCGGAGTACATAAATGCCAACTACATACGATTGCCCACCGATGGGGATCTGTACAACATGAGCAGCTCGTCGGAGAGCTTGAACAGCTCCGTGCCCAGTTGTCCCGCCTGTACGGCGGCCCAGACCCAAAGGAACTGCCCCAACTGCCAGGTGCTGAACAAGACCTGTGTCCAGTGTGCCGTCAAAAGCGCCATCCTGCCGTACAGCAATTGTGCCACCTGCAGCCGCAAATCGGATTCATTGAGCAAGCACAAACGCAGCGAATCCTCGGCCAGCTCCTCGCCCTCGATAACGGGGTCCGTGAATGGTGTTAACAACGGACCCGGCACCCCCACCAATCTCACCAATCATCCGGCAGCCGGCTGTCTAACCGGATTGCTTAAAAAGCATTCCGGCGAATCGGCCTACGGCAGCGGTAACACTGTCTCCGGATCCGGTACGACGGCCGAAAGAGAAAGGGAGAGAGAGCGCGAACGGGAGCGGGAAATGTTTAAAACATATATCGCCACCCAGGGCTGTCTGCTCACCCATCAGGTGAACACGGTGACGGATTTCTGGAACATGATCTGGCAGGAGAACACACGGGTGATTGTGATGACCACCAAGGAGTATGAGCGCGGCAAGGAGAAGTGCGCCCGCTACTGGCCCGACGAGGGCAAGACGGAACAGTTCGGTCCGGCGCGGATACAGTGCGTCTCCGAGAACTCGACTAGTGACTATACGTTACGTGAGTTTCTGGTCTCGTGGCGGGATCAGCCAACGCGTCGGATCTATCACTATCACTTCCAGGTGTGGCCGGATCACGGTGTCCCAGCCGATCCGGGTTGTGTTCTCAACTTCCTTCAGGATGTCAACACACGCCAGAGTCAGTTGGCTCAGGCGGGTGAGAAACCGGTAAGTCTACCTTGAGATCCTCCTTCTAATTATTTATCTTCTAACCTTTTATGGATTTTATCTTGGTGGTATTTTTTAGGGTCCCATTTGTGTACACTGTTCGGCGGGAATAGGTCGTACTGGCACGTTTATTGTGATTGATATGATTCTCGATCAGATTGTACGAAATGGTGAGTCCAGTTTAAACCTGGCCCTAAAGACTGGCCCTTTATTTAACAAAACTTGTCTCCCCCTCATAGGCTTGGACACCGAAATCGATATCCAGCGTACCATTCAAATGGTTCGTTCGCAGCGTTCCGGCCTGGTCCAAACCGAGGCCCAGTACAAGTTTGTTTACTATGCGGTCCAGCATTACATCCAGACCTTGATAGCCAGGAAGCGAGCCGAAGAGCAGAGCCTCCAAGTGGGTCGCGAGTACACAAACATCAAGTGAGTCTCTATTGGACCTGAAAATCTTTTAAAGTTTAATACTAATTTTTGATGGTAACTCTTTCGTTAAAAGGTACACGGGCGAAATTGGCAACGATTCACAAAGATCTCCATTACCACCAGCAATTTCTAGCATAAGTTTAGCCTCAAGTAAGACGCCATCGACGCCGTCGACCTGCTCCTCGACGGACTCGAGCATGGGTATGGGAATGGGTATGGGTTTTGGCAACCTATCGGCCGGATCGGGACCGGGAACGGGTTCGGGATCTGGTACTGGCACGGGATCTGGCAATAAGCATGCGGGAAAGCAGCAACCACCGTTACCGGCCAATTGCAATAATAACAACAATGGCATCAGCAGCAACAATAGCAGCAACAACAAGGACACCAGCAACACGAGCAGCAGCAGCAGTAGCAGCAACAACAGCAGCAGCAGCAATGGTATCGGTGGCAGCAATGGCAATATAAATGCTATACTCGGTGGCATTGGATTGCGAAAACATCACCAGAGAGAGGATCAACTGCAGCAGCAGCAGCATCTGGCTGGTGGAGCATCAGGAGCAGGTAAGCAACAACAACAGCAGCATCAGCAACAACAACAACAGCCGGCACCGCCGATGCGACCGCGTGCCGGTATACTCAAGTTGCTGACCAGTCCCGTCATCTTTCAGCAAAATACAAAAACATTCCCAAAGACATGATGATGCAGCGGCCAATGCCGCCGGCAATTGTCGGCCAGCATCATCATCATCATGCTCCACCGAACGCCTCCCATGTGGATGCACAGGCATCCATTGTAGCACCAGCGCCGCCGCCGCGCAAAACATGACACATGAATTTCTAAGTCGGATGGTTCGAAATTCGAACATGAAACTGAAACTAGAAAGGAAACGGAAACGGAAATAGAAACACACACAGAAACCGGAAACAGAAAGAAAAACAAAAACAAACAAATGCCAAGAGAAATGATGTGGAAGAAAGGAAAAAGCAAGCCAAGCCCAAAAGAAAAGAAATACACTGACAGACAAAACGGGTTTCATTTTGTGACGCACCACCCACCCACCCGTACACCCAAAACCCAAAAAAAAAAAACAAAATTATTAAACAACAACCCACTTCCCACAACCCTTGACTATGTTTTACTGTTGTACTATTATTATTATTATTATTATTACTTGATATAATTTTTTTTTTTAATAATTGTAAATTATAGTTTTTTTTTTTTGTGTAATTGTGTGTAGTGATTAGATTGTATGTATTTTGTCTCGCTTTATGTTGTAAGTGTAACCCGCACAACCACACCTCTCCGCACCGCACCACCACCTCCCCCTCCCCCCGCTCCAAAAAAACAAAAATCGATATTTATGTATTAGTTTTTTAAGCAAAAAAAAAATTTCAAAACTTATTTTAAAAACTTTTGAAAATACTTTAAGAGGCAGAGCAGCAGCCTGTTCCCAAATTCCATAATAATCAGATTTTGGTGGAAATTCAAATTTTTTTTTAAAGATTTACACATTTAAAGATTTTAAAAATTTATTTAACAAAAAAAAGTGCAATTTTAGTTTGAAAACATATATAATTTTTTTCCAAAAAAAGTGCAATTGTTTTTTATACTTAATAATTTTATTTACAAAAGAAAATTGTAAAATATATATCGCCGATTCCACCAAAATTTTGTTTTGAGTTTCGAAAAAGGGAAATTATTTTTGAGCAACCTATGGTTTGAAAACTACAATATTAGGGCTTTAAATGTTGAGGAAAGTTATAGAATGTGGAGTTATAGAATACAAATATATGAAAAAAAAAAAGAAAAAGCGCTGATTGTGATTCGAGTAACAGCGAGAAGAGTAAATAAAGCTATAAGATACCAGATACAGATGAGAACGGGATGGGACAGCCGCCGCCAACCGAACAGAAATAAATCAGAAATATATATATAATATATATATATATTTAAAACAGAGGAGCAGAGATCAGAGATCGGATCAAATCGGATCAGATTAGAGAGTAGGAAAGATCGTCCCTAGGATAGGAATTCTCAAAAAAAAAAAAAGAAAAATCCAATTTGCAGGCAGGATGGCAGATGTATCTATTATATCCCTAATTTTCCCTCTACTTTCCACTCTTCTCTGTCCCCCCCTTTAATTTTTTTTAAACTTAACTATTTGTTTTTTTATTTAAGAGCCTATTTTGAAAATTTATAAAGTTTACCAATTGTGTTACATTTTAAATGAACGTTTTTTTAGTAATTTTTGTAAGTGTACGTATGTATGTGTGTGTGCCTCTCTAGCCCCCTCTCTCTCTCACTCGCTCCATCTCTCTCTATCTGTCTCTCTCTCTCGCTCTTTCTGTGTATGTGTGTTTTATTTTTTAAGATTAACGATTAAAAATATATATTTTATTTTTGCGAAATCAAACTCTATATGCAATATATAAGCACAGTACCTTGGACGCTGCATTGTTTCGTAATCTAAAAATTAAAATTAAAATTAAAAAAATTAAAATTATATACAGGAATAAATAACTCAATAATAAAACCCCCCCAAAAAAACACACACACTTTAGGCAGAAAAAAATATTTTAAACAATAAACAAGAATATTAATGGAGTAGACCAGCGGCAACAATCTAAGTAATATTGTATATTTAATATATATAAATATATATATTTTTTATTTTATCATATATTTTACCTTATATGCTTCTTTTGTAAGTGCTTTAAATTGTTATTCATCTTGATCTACAAACAAAAAAATAATACAAAAAAAAACAAAATATGAAAATGCAAAACAGAAAACCGAAAAAAGAATAAAAAACTAAACAAAAAAAAAACGAAATATAAAAACACAAATTATATTTGTATTTATATATAAAAAAATAAACATTTTGTATGCGATAAATGGCAAACTTTTATTTTATTTCATTTATTTTTTTCTTAATAATTTTCAGTTTTAATTTCTTCGCTGGTGCATGTTGTTTTTCCCCTCAATTGTGAATGCCTTTTCCGTTTTCGAAACAGTTTTTTTTTAAGTTATACTGAATAAATACTAAAAATAAATACCAACAACACCAACATACCGAACTGATACAATAACCCAAGCCAAGTTAGGAACTCGGAACTATATACCCACAAGAGCCTTAAAGATATGCCTAAAGAAAACTTAAAAAAAAATAATAATAATACCAAAAGTTATTAAGATTCTCTTAAAAATAATACCAAAAATGAAAAAAGATGATATTGAGAGATAGCACAAGTGGGAAGAGGGAGGAGCTGTCCCTTTACCTCAGATAGAGCAATAAGTACTCATGTGTTCATCCACCCAATCGAATCGAAGGACCCAAGGCGATAACCCCCCATAGAAAGGACGAGAAGTCGGATCTGGAGCGGAAGAAGGATGTCGTGTGTGTGTGATCTAGTACTTTATTTAGTTAGTCTATGTACGATGATTCAAATACGGAAAAAGGATTCAAGGATATGTGGAAGCCTGGCTTCTGCTACTTCTTCAAAAAAAATCTGGGCGGTGACTTAGTAACCCCCAGTAAAAAATGTAGGTACAAAAAAAATAGTTTTAATTTTTAATTTAAAAATATAATGAATTATATTACCCCCCTTTATCTTAAAAGATATAGTTATGTCCTTTTGTCCGTATGTCCAACCTTTCAAATATGTACCTTTTTCATAACATCCATTACCATTATATTTAATATTTTTTAAAATCCGGATTAGAAAACTCTAAAAACCTATCCATAACTTTGGTATTTTTAGAGTTATTAGCCTGAAACATTTTGGGTAATAAGGGGCTTTACTGCCAAATCTATAAGCTTCGGTTTCGAATCGAATCTAACTCCCCATGTGTATAATAATATAATTAATTAATATTAATATGTAATACTCTTATCTTATAATTTATAATTTTTTTTTTTTGGAAAAAGCCATTTTCTTTTGTTGAATTTTTCTATATAGGATAAAACCTGAAGGATAAGATATTTTCCAAACTGGATATGGATATGGATATGGATAGGAAGGAAGAAATAAATGGGGATATATGCCAAAAAAAAAGAAAAAAACACCAGAATTCACCCATAGGCCTACAAAACTATAAAACCAACCAAGAAGAACAACACCAGCAACCAGAACACCAACTACAAAACAACGATATTAAAAATTCTTAATTATTTAAGAATAGAAAACCGAAATCAAAAGTAACCAAAATGGGAATAAAAATAACCAGAAAATAACATCCCTCCCTTCGAAAAAAACCCAAAAAACAAGAGCAAAGAAACGCTTTAAAAACTTAATTAAAAAAAAGTAATATATAGACACACACCAATTAAATTGTATCTAGGCGATTTATATATGAAATGGAACCTATACTTATTATCGAAACACCAATTATCCATAGAACGTCATATGGAACGGGAATCTAGGCGATCTAATACTTATGCATAATATAATTCAATAGAAGAAACACCAAGAGTGAATCACTCTAGTGACTTGATTACTTTAAATAACGATTGTAACGATTGTATCGATATTTTCAGGGGGTAGGGCGGCTAATATAGATCATCGTTGCATGTGAGACCTCAAAATGCCCCTCCAAGACCTCAAAAATAATTCCCAGTCCTTCGCTCACCCCTTTCCTCAAATCTTTACATCTATAAGCATTACAAAATCTAGAAAAACCCCAAAAAGTTGTTCGATATTTTGTTTTTTGAAATGAAACCTCGGTGTGGTTTCGAACCGAACATTATTATTTTTTGTTTGTTTGTTCAAATGTTGCCAATTGCAAAAATACTCCAAGTGTTATAGTACCATATATATGTACCATATATATATGGAAAATGGAATATATTTAATGAGAACGGAATTAGGATGCGAAATATCTAGGATTCTAAAGAATATATAATGTCTCTCTTTCTCTATATACATATATAAACGCGAGTATATAGATGAAAAAACTTATGAAAGAAATTTACTTTGCAAGTAGTAGTTCTCATCTTGAATTAAATGAAAATATTAATCGTCCTACGGGAATTAGAATATATATAAATATATATATATATATATATATATAGTATATGTATAGTATGCATCATACCTAACGAATATTGTTGAACGATGACCATTTAATTGGAAAAAAAAGAAAATAGAGGGAGATCGATCCGAAAAATATATATATACATATATATGTTATTAACAAAAAAAGGTAAACCAGCCCACGATGAAACGCTAAACGTTTTTGTAGCTTTAGAATTTAAGACGAACAACCAAAACAAAAACGAAAAAAATCGACAAAATCGAAAAACAAAAATCGTAAATCGTAAATCGAAAATCGAAAATCAATAGAACGAGCATTAAATGTCAACACCAAATAATTTCTAATTGAAAAAAAACCAACAAACTTGTTGTAAATGTTGAAGCAAATCTATGTGTATGTGAGTTAGGAAACAATTAGCAAAAAAAAAAACACTTAAAAAATCGAAAAAGATAACGAAAATGCGATAACGATAACGATAACGAACCAGAAACCGAAAACAAAATACCAAAGTGAAGCCATTTAAAAAACAAAAAAATAAAAGAGAAATGCAAAGAAAGCTGTTTGAAAACTAATATCGATAATATCGATAGTCGCGAAATATTGACGATATATTCAACATTTTTGGGTGTCTGCTATTTGAAAGAAAACAAATTATATTATTGAATAAACCGTATTACAAATAATCTTTCGAAAATTGTGTCCTTGTTTTAATGGGGAAATGGCATTTAAAGAAAAGATTTGGGAGGGGAATAAGGGCAAACTTTGAACTTAAAAACTATCGATTATTCGATATTTTTATTCCTTGTTTTAAAAATTATTCAAGAACTTTAAAATATAAATCTTATTACATTAATAAACAAAATGGAACTATTTTAAAATTTGAAGAAAACAAAAGAGTTTGAGCTTTGAACTATCGATTTAAAACTATCGATTATCGATAAATAAAATTAAACTTTTTTTCTTATTGTTTTAAATGTTTTTTATTGTTTAATGTTTAAAAACCATGTTTAATATAGCAAAAAGACGAAAATTAAAATTGGCTTTCATTTCGTCTCTGGAATTTGTCTGAAATTCGCCAACAGCTGAAAATGAAAAGTAACAGGCGGGCAGGAAAATCAACAAGTGGCCAGTCCTCTACCTAGTGACGTATAGAAATTGGAAATCGTTACATCAATCGGAAGAGAGATGGCTAGCCAGTGGAAGGGGGGTGGGGGCGGGTGGCTAGCCAATGAGAGAGCGGCTTGATGTGTAAGCTTCGTAACTTTCATTCAGCTTAACCGTTACTTCAAAACAAAATAAAGTGAGACAGATGATGGGTGAAATGCATCGGCCCACGCTCACCAAGTGAGTGAGAGTAGTACCGTCCGAATTACCTGTTCCGGTGTTCTGTTCGCCTGGTATTTCCAGTACACTTCAAAGTAAATTTTCAACATTTTGGCATAAATTTAACAATATTTTTTTATAATAAAAAAATTGTTTAAGTTTATTGCCAGTTGAAAGCTACCAAGCAGGCAGGAAAAATAAATGGCATAACTTATTTTTAAGAATGAATTGTACGAGTGTGTGAGTGTGTGTGTGTGTGAGTGCCCCCGAAAGTATGCAATGCTTTGGCATGCAACATTTTCTATGCATTTTCCTCGAGTGTAATCCCCAAAAAGAAAACAAATATATATATTTTTTAATATTCACAATTAAACACTATTCAGTGACTTTTTATTTTGTTCAGCAGTTTTAAAAAAAAAAATTGGTTTTGTAAAAAAAATGTATAATTAAATATTACATTATAATAATAATTGAATTCATAGAACCTTCTGGACAAAGAATTTCTTTAAAATAATTGCATTTGAAGTATGTATAATCATATATATATATATATATCAGATGGTGAGCTTAACGGTTAACCCTACTACCTAGTTAGACTCCAAGAATGAATAAATTAATGAATTATTCCAGGCTTTCGATCCCTAATCCTAGCCAGGATTGCTATGCCTATAAAAGATTGCGAAGTAAAGCGATATCTGTACAATTTTTGTTGATGGTATATGATGTATGATGAGTGGTAGTCCCCCCTCTCAAGGTCACTCCCCTGTCCAAGATTTGGAATCAGATTCCGAATTAGACTGGATGAACTCGATCCACGGCTATTGCTCCTCCTCCAGCCTAAGGTCGTGGCAGAGGCGTGTGGTCAGGTCGAAGCACAGGTGGCTGCCACCGCTACTGTCCTCCGACTCGGGGGGTGGTGTGGCCGCGGGCGAGGGAGCTGCCAAACGGAGCAGGGCCACCGGCGAGTACGGTGGCGGTGTAATCGAATACGACGGCGATAGCATCAGCCGACACTATTGAGTCACTCCAGCCTCCTTGCCGCCCGCCTCGCCGGCTGGAGGAGGCGGCACCTCCTTCATGGACTCCACCTTGGCCACGATCTTGAGGGCGGGGCCCAGCTTCATGCCCATGGCGCTCACCAGATGGTTCTCCTTGAGCAGCAGCAGCGCCTGTCCGTCGATCTCCTGCTGGATGAAGTCGTCCACGTAGTCCTGGCAGCCGGTCAGCTCGCGGATGAAGTTGCTCACCTCGTCCACCGTCCAGCTACTAATCGGAGGTCGGTCGGGTGGCGCGCCATTCGTCATCGACGAGGATATGGCAGGAGTCGCCAGAGTAACCACGCCGGCGGGAGCTATCGGAGCCAGAGGAACAGGTGCCGCCATGTCCATTGGCACGAAGGACTCCAGGCCCAGGGCAATGGGAGTGGGTGGCATCAGCACTGGGAGCGGCAGGACCGGCACCTCCACCGGCGCCGGCTGCAGGGCCTCGGCCTGCATCTTCGCCTCCGCCATGGCCTCGTCCAGTTTGTCCACCAGAGCCATGGCATCCACGGCGACTATGCCGCCGGTGCCAAGTCCATTGGTCTCCATGGCGCTGACGACTCCGTTCTTCGCCTGACGGGCACATGCCGGCGAGCAGAAGCGCTTCTTCTTCAGCTTGGTCTTGTGCTCCAGCTTGCCGCACTGCTCGCAGGCCACGATGTCCGCCGGAGGGGGCGTGGCGCTGGCAATTCCGCTCGGCTTGATGTCCTCCTGCATGGCGGCCTTTTTCTCTGCGGGAATAGATGGAGGAGCGGGTAAGTGGACGGTCAGAGGAAACAAGTAGCAGGAATACTCACTGGGAGGCTCGTCCTGGATGTCCTTGTCGGCGTAGCGCTGCCGGGTGACTGGGAAGGGCTCGTTGGCCTCCTGGATGATGAACCCGTCGATGACGTGGGTCAGCGTGTTCGGCTTGATCAACGCCTTGGGCAGATCCTTGCCTCCATTGAGGCTGCTGGTCGTGGTGGTGGTGGTGATGGCGCAGCTGGTGGTGGTAGTGGTGCTAGTGGTGGTAACCGTGCTGCTGCCCGTGCTCCGAGCCAGACCAATGCCGTTGGAGACGGTGGATGTGGTGGGGGTGGACGTGGTGGTCGTTCCACTGGTGGCAGTGGACACCTTCACCTCCTCCTTGCCGCCGGGAGTGCTGCTCCTCTGCTTGCTGGTGGGTGTGAGGTTCGAGGTGGGAGTAGCGCACTTGGAGGGCGTGGACCCGACCTCGGGGGCTTCTCCGTTCGGCAGAGCTTCTCCGGTGGAACTGCTCGCCTCCGCGGAGGCACTTCCATTCGCAGGAGTGCCGGATTTAGAGTCCTGGCCAGCGACGGGCGTCATCGGAGAGTCAATGGGAACCAGCGTGGCCGTGGGAGTCTTCGAGGGGGTGTCCTTGGTGGGCGTCGCTGGGTGACTGCCCCCCACTCCGCCCGCTCCGCTGCTGGCACTGCTCAGGGCGACCAGCTGGCCAGTGGAGGGCGTCACCGCCGTACTCGTCACCGAAACCGTCACTGGGGGAGCTGTGGAAAGGTGCCCCACCGTGGCGTTCATCATGGAGGTCATGGCCAGGATGGGATTGGTGTTCTGGGTGAGTGTGCCTGTTCCCTGCGACTGCTGCTGCTGCTGCTGTTGTTGTTGTTGCTGCTGCTGCTGAGTCGCTGCCGCAATGCTGGCGGAGAGGAGCTGCTGTTGCTGCTGCTGGAGCTGTGCCTGAGCCTGCGCCTGTGCTTGGGCCTGAGCTTGCGCCTGGGCCTGGGCCTGGGCCTGTGCCTGCTGAAGAGTCGTCACCGTGCTGCTGGTGACCAGGGGAGTGGTGCTCTGGTTGGAAATGGTCACGACGCTGCTGGTGGGCAGCGAGGAGCTAGCTGTGGCCAACTTGCTGGTCTGGAAGAGGGTCCCAGATGCGGAGAGCGCCGCCTGCAGGGCACTGGAGGTGGCTATTCCCGAGGGCGTGGTCGTCGAGGACACCGAGAAGGGCACACTACTCAACTGCAGCTGCCCGGACTGCCCCGACTGCTGGCCAGTGGCGCCTCCCGTTTGCTGCACCACGATCTGCTGTATGATGTTATGTTGCTGCTGCTGCTGCTCCCGTTGGTGTTGCTGCTGCTGCGCCTGCTGCTGGAGTTGCTGTTGCTGCAACTGCTGCTGTAACATCTGCTGCTGCTGCTGCGTGATGAACGCATTCGTTGACACCTGGAGGATCTGCTGGGCCTGCTGCTGCTGCGCCTGGACTTGCTGCTGTTGCTGCTGCTGCTGGTCCCGCTGCTGTTGCTGCGCCACCGCCACAGCCTGCTGCTGCTGAGCCGCCACCTGCTGCTGCTGCTGGGAGACTTGCTGCTGCTGCTGCTGTTGCATCTGTATGGCCGCCAGTTGCTGCTGCAGCATTTGCTGTTGCAACAGTTGCTGCTTCTGGATGAGCTGCAGCTGCTGCTGCTGCTTCTCCACTCCGGCCGCAGTGGCGGCATGCAGGGTCTGGCCATTCTGGAGCGTAATGGGAGTGCCCGTCGTGCTCATTACCACCATTCTGGAAGAGATTAGAGGGTTAGATGATGCGGATGAGGATTGGGATTCAGCTTCCACTTACTTGTTGCCCGCGGAGTTGACCACCTGCTGGAGATTGGCCGCCGCCACCGCCTGCTGCTGCTGCACTGTGGCCAGGTGACCCACCACCTTGTTCTGACCCGCCACCTGCCCGTTCTCCGTCTTCAGGGTGGGCAGGGCCGGGCGCACCGGCGTCTGCTTGGTCCGCATCTTGGCCTTCAGCAGGCTCTGGTTCTGGGCCGTCTGGGTGGAGACGGAGCTGGCCGGACGCACCTGGGTGCCGTTGTGGGGCATCACGGGAGCCCCTGCTCGGAGGGCCGTCAGCTGCTGCTGCTGCTGCTGCAACTGGGCAGTGGCCACCGCCAGCTGCTGCTGCTGCGCCTGGTTGCTGTTCCCCGCCTGCTGCTGCTTCGGAGCCAGTGCGTCCAGCTGGGTGCGCGCCTTGGTCGGAGTCTGTGTCACATTGCACTGGATGATCTCTGCAAGGGAAGGGGTGGTTAGTAGCCACTCAGTAATCCTCAGATTACAAGCCAATCTTACGGTTCTGCTGCGTCTGGAGCGTCTGCGTCGTCGGCTGCTGAATGAACATCCCCGACGTGCCGTCCGGCTGCCCCCTCAGGATGATGGGATTGGAACCGAAGGGCTGGAGTCCGGCGCCGTTCTGCCAGAACCACGGGATCTGCATCTGCTGCGCCTGGCCGGGATTCAGGAGCTGGGCCGCCTGCACCGACTGGGCCACCCCCGGGAGGGTGGACTGCGAGACCTGGACGCACTGCTGCGTGGTCTGGGTGGTCTGCTGCTGCTGCTGCTGGACCTGCTGCACCTGTTGGGCCTGGGTGGCACCTCCTTGTCCCACACCCACTCCTGCTCCGCCGGCTGTGGCCTGCACGGTGCTACTCGTGGTGGTCACCTTCTGGACCACCTTCTGGGCCAGCTTGCCCTGCGCGTCCACGCCCACCTTGGCGAGGGCGGCCGTCAGCTGCTGCTGTTGCTGCTGCTGCGTGAGTTGTTGCTGTTGTTGTTGTTGCTGTTGCTGCTGCTGCTGCTGCGAGAGCTGCTGCTGGGCGGCGGCCATCGACTGGAGGAGGTTCTGCTGCTGCTGGGGGGAGTGGGAGATGACGTTCACGGGCGAGATGAGCAGCGTCTGGGGCGACTGGTTGTGGGTGGAGGTGGGATGGATGGAGGGGAGCGAAGGGATGCAGGAGGCGTAGGCTCCTCCTGCGAAGCCAGCTTGGCCCGCCGCCTGGATCATCTGCTTGGCGTTCTGGGTGGTGGTGGCGATCATCTGGGGGGCATTGCCCTGAAATGGTTTCCCCGCCGTTATCACCTGGATGGGCTGCTGCCCGAGGCTGCCCGGATGAAGCAGGTTCCCGGATACGAACATCTGCGGGTAGAGGAACTGTGTGGAGGGCTGCATCAACTGGACAGCCCGGCCCTGGGCCCAGTCCCCGCCCACTCCGCCGGCGGTCAGCTGCATGGGCGACATGGTGCTGATGGCAGTGGACTGCTGCTGCTGGGCATTCTGGGCATTGGCAGGACTAGGTGCTCCACCGGCCGCTCCACCGCCTCCCGCTGCCGCGCCACCTGCTCCTCCAGCCGCCCCGCTGGCCGCATCGGAGAGCTGCTGCTGCAGTTGCATCTGCTGCTGGACGTCCAGGATGTTGGCGGCATGTTTCAGTTCTGCACCGGTGGCGCCACCGCCCGCGCTGGGAAACTCCTGCTTCACCTGAATGGCATACGGATTGTTGGCGTACAACTGCTGCAGCTGCTCCGGGGAGATCTGCAGCGGCACCGTGGCGGTGGTCGCCACCTGTTGTGCGGGACTCTGTGACTTCTCCAGTGTGTGGCTGCGTCGCGTCGAGTTGGGAGTACTTGGCGCACTCAATATATTCCTCAGCAAGGGATGGCGTCGCTTCGAGGTCGGTGTTCCGGCAACGGAGGATGTCCGGCTGCTGGGACTCGAGTCCTCGTCGAAGTTGATGCCCGCTTTCTGGGCAAGGGTCTCCAAGCACTTGAGCGGTCTTCCTCCGGATGGTTCCTCCCGGATATTCGATGTGTCCTTTAGTGGGGATGCTGTTACGGCTGCCGATTCTGGTCCTGGTTCTGGTTCGGAGGCAGGTTCAGTCTCCGCGCCCGCTCTGGATACGAAAAAGAGAGCAAAGAGAAGAAACGAATAAGTAAGTAAGCGTGATAAGGGGAAGTAAACAGACGGACACACTTGGGGCGTCTCCGAGTACGTGAGGCATGCTTCATCTTGTTTTCTTTTTTTTTTTGTTTTTTTTTTTTAGTATCTTTTAATATTTTATCACCGAAACCACAAACATAAAAAAAAAAGTAAAAAAGCAAACAGGTTGGCAGCCCTCCGAAAATTTCTCTCCCCAACAGAGAGGGGGGAGAAGACAGAAAAAATGCAATGCACTGAGAGAAAATAATATGCCAGGGGTTTCTTTATTGAAATTATTAAAAACAAACAAAAATTAAAAACTTTCCACTAAGAATACTAAAATATTTAAATTTTTTTATAATTTGTATTTATAAAAAGAAAGTTCTCTTTTTTTTTCTCTCTCTGTAAAAGAAAAGTGAGAAAGAAAATGGCAAAGAGAGTGGGTTCCTGGGAAAACGAGACAAGACACATACGAGATCATTGAGAAAGACAAAGACAGAGGCGGATGGCCAAGAAAGCGAAAACGAAAACAAACTTTGAAAATTAAAACGGTAGTGAGTAGTGAGAGAGAGTGACATTACAGAACGGAATGTATCTCATTTCGCTGATCATTCACACAGTAAATAAAATATGAGAGAGTGACCTCTCATCTCTCAGTATACATTTTTCTGTTTATTTTATTTATCCATTTACCGAAATTGATAAAAATTTCGTTTTTCCATTTATTTATAAATAAAATATCAAACACAATCATTTTTTATTTATAATGCATTTTTAATAGGGATGTCCCACATAACACTGACCCAATAAGTGGTCTCTTATTCTATGGGGGTCACCTCTCTTTTGGAGGGCTGCTCTCTTTTTTCGGACTCTTCCTCTTTGTAATTATCCTTCTCGGCACTTTAGAGTGGGAGTGACCTTTATTTATGGACAGCCGAATTGTAATCCCCCGCCCCTCCCCCTTTCCCTCCTTTTAGAGTGCTCCCACGGGGTTACGGTTCAGAGACCTTGGGGTCTGGTTCTTCCAAAAAAAAAAAAAAATACTAACAGTTGCTATTCCCATGTCCTGCAGGAGTAACAAATGGTTTCAGGTTCGATTTCACGCACAGAATCCCTTTCCAACAACCGGAGAGGAGGGTTGGTGGGGAGGGGTAGGGGAGGGAAAGGCACAAAAGCTTGAGGGTAAGGTTCGGGTTTAAAGGCGGGTGGGCGGTCCGCCGGGGGTTGATTCCCAGCCATGGGGTTGTTGCTGCTGTTGCTGCTAGTGGGTGTTGTTGTTGTTGTACTGTATTGTACATGTTCCCATGTTGTAGTGGTGTTTGTTTGTTCCAAGAGAGAGAGAGAAGGAGAGAGAGAGTGTGTCAAGGGGAGGGGGAGGACGGAATCAAGCTAGACGGCCTGCCAGACGCATCCTCCTCGACATCTCCGGCGGCCAACGTTCAGCAACATGCAACTCCAAGACTGGTTTCTTGCCACCACTTTTTCAGAGTGTATGTGTGTGTGTGTGTGTGTGTGAGCTCGGGTGTCGTGTGTCTGCAACAGAGGCTGAGTGCCTTCCAGAGGCTCTTTCTTGCAACAATGCCACAGCCATCATTAATATGATTTTCCCTTCAACCGAATTGAGTTGCAAGCAGCATTGCCACGGGGGTGGGAGAACGGAAAAGGGAACAAAAATAACAACAACAACAACAACAACAACAACAATGCGGGGAGCATGCGCCGGCGGAGCAGCAGCAGCGGCAGCGTCAACGACAGCAGCGTCTCGAAAATGTGTTTTACTTTTTGTTTTATTTTATTTTTTTTTTTGGGGGTTTTGGGACTCATTAGTTTTCTTAACAGTACTCTACATGCTAAAGGCCGATAGAGGCACCTGTGCACGCGATCTTACATAAAAAAAAACGCAGCTACGACAACTCTAGACGCCGAACAGCATTAATGTGTTTTTTTTTTTTTCTCTTGTCTTCTCTTCTTTCGCCTCCGCTTTGGCTTTGTTTTTACTCCAGCGATACACTTTCCAGCGACATAGCGCTGCTTACGTCGGCAGCGAAGCGCCGAAGCCGCCGACGTTTCTACTTCTTCTCATGTTCACCGAAGAATTGCAGTTGCATTACACTAATCGCATGCACATCTGGGCATTTGATTAAAAAAACATAAATAAATAGTCCGAATCCGAGGTGGACACTGGCCGCGGGTGTCGGTTTCTGGTGTATTATGGTGCGTCGCGTCGGCGCGAGAGTTTTTCATTCACAGCACATGCACGGCACGGCGCGGATAGGCAGAAACGCTGACGCTGACGTTAACGCTGTCGTTGTCGTTGTAGTTGTCGCAGTCGCCGTCGGAGAGAACCGCACGCCGTCGAGTTGAGTTGCAGACTGAGGAGGTTCGGAGAGCGCCGTCGAGCACTCGCCTGTCGGCGGGGCGACAACTCTGCCGGACAACTCACACGGTCGCGGCGAAACAAAATGAAGCGCGCATGTGTTCGTGTTGGTGCTGCTCTAGCAGCTGGCCGCGGAAACCAGTTTCTCTCGCACCCGATAACTTTTCTCTATACCGAAATGCGCGGGAGCGAGTGCGACGGCACTAGGGGCAGCCGACCCCGGCCAACGTGTATGAGTGCGATGCCCTCTGCGCGGCTGGGGTTGGAATGAAACAGCAGCAGCAGCAGCCAGCAGCGGCGGCAGTGGCAGGCAGCAAAAAAAGATACAAAAATCGAGATACAGCTGGCGGGCATGTGTGTGTGCGGTTCCAACCACCCCGACTGCGTGCTCCCCTCCAACCCCGCTAGCCTCTACGACCGAATCCAGTTTTCTGCCTTCTGTGTCTACACTCGAATGTCTGCCGCCCGATTGTTACTATACTTCATCTTCTTTTTTCATTCCACCACCACCACCATCGGCCACTCCACCCGGCCTACCTGGACGACCTTCCCCCTCCTCCTCCTCCGCTTCCATCGCCTTCCCTTGTGCTCTGCAGCCAGGGATCGGATCGGCTTTACGTTATTATTAGTTGTGCTTGTCGGAAACAGACGGGACGTGAAAACGCCAGGGGGTGGGGTGGCGTATGCGCAGAGCCAGGGCGAACTGTTGTTTTGCTCGAACAGTGGCATGCGATCCATTATCATTGGATTGCATTTTCATTAATTTTTTCATCGTTTTTTTCTCCCTGCAGTGGCTCATACACAGAGTGCACAGTGGTTTGAAAACAAAGTTCGATCGAACCGATATGTAGGGTATTATGAGAAGTCCCGAATCTGGGTGGATTACGTTCTTCAGATAGATCCTTTTGCAACTAAGACTGTTACATTTGGGAAATATTATATTAAAAAAATATTATAATAAATAATAGTTTAAATTTTTATATGCGGTATTAATTTTTATCAACCAATTTTTTATATATTTTTCAACTCTGGTTTCAGACCACCCTCGTCCCACTGTGCCTTTCGCTGGCATTTCATTTTTCATTTTGTGCTTTGTCGAGTGCTCGGGGCTGTGTGTGTGAACGCATTTGTATGGGTTGCGCCGCTTTTGGGCTCTGTCGGTCTTCTTCTTCCGCCTCCCTCCCCCTCCAACACGTTGCAGCGCCCCACAGGCGTTCATCATTCAATCGCCGTTGTTGTTGTTGCTGTTGTGGTTCGACTGATGAAATCGTGGGGTTCGCTTCGTCTCATTTCTTTTTTCGCCGCGCTGCCGCCATATTATTTTAACGTACGCTGACTGCTCTGCCTGCCGCCCGCTCTCTTGCTCTAGCTGGCGCTCTCTTCTCTGCTCTCCTCGCCTCTCTTCACCTCTGCCAGCGTTGTTTTTGTTTCTGCCTTTTTTAGTGCCACTGATTGTGTGCGCTGGTGTGTGTGTGGGGTTGGCTCTTTCTTTTTGGTATTTTTGTGGGGTTTTGTGCTTAGCTTTTTTCTTATTAGTTGCGGCCGCGTTCTTTCCTCCTCTTCTTTCGCCCTGGCAACTCAACTGTACAATGTGTCGAGCATGCGCTCTTCCTCTTGCCGCCGATTCAATTAATTGCAAATGCCTCCAGCTTGGGGCTTCTTTGTTGTTGGGCGGGAGGGTCGCAGCGTGTGTGAGTGACTCTGTGGGGGCAGTAGGTGCGAGCAGGCGAGCAAATGGGCTCTGTCGTCCGTGAGGGTGTGCGTGCGGGGGCTATTTGCATTTTGAGGAATGAAATGACAAATGTTTAATGAGCGTAAATTGCTTTGCACTTTTTCCACACGCTCTGTCTCGCTCTCACTCTTGTAAGTGCCCGTGCGCCACCCTCTCTCGCTCGCTCACTCCTGGGATCGCTGTAATGAGTCTCACTCTCACCCTCTCTCCAGTACCTGTTGTCCTTCCGAGACTTCTGCCAAGATTTCCTTCACCATTTTCCAAAACCCACAGCCTTGGAATTATCAACATCTGCATACCCTCCCATTACGGTACTGCCCGTGTAGTGGTGTGATAATCAAAAGTGGGCTGACTTCTATCGTCGATGTTGTTGTTGTTGTTGTTGTTGCTGCTGGTATCGTAATTGACAGCAGCGACGTCGCAGAGAGTCAGCGTTTATGGCCACAAGGCGTGGCCAACCTCGCAATAAAAATGGATCTCTGCGGTGATCTTCGTCACTAAAATTTTCCCTAATTAGTTTCCTAATTTTTTGTAGAGAAGCTCTTCCTGGGAGTTCTGACTTTTTCTTTTTGTTCCTTTTCTCTTCTTTTATTCTTTTCTTTTGTTTTCTCCTTCACTTGACCTTCCCACTCAAACCGGAAGTACTCGAGTTCGCCTTGGACTTTGGTTGGGTCATTCCATCAGGGTTGAAAGCGATTCTACAGAATTTATTTTAAACGAAAAAAATATATATATTTTAAAACATTTTTGTTATTGTATTAATATTACTAACTATTAATATTATTATCCTTTTATGGACCTGAAATTATATCATATATTAAATTCCCAACATAATATCTTAAAAACCATACAAATTATATAAGTATATTCCACAATTTATCAAAAAAACCCTAAACTATTTTCCAAAAAATCCTCTTTTAAAAAAAATATTTTCCACAAAATCTGTCCCTTCCCCTTATCCTTTTTCCGGATTGTTTATTTTTCCCCCCCAAGGGAATGAAAATCACCGGACTGTATCCTTTATCCGGAGAAACAA